TCTGCGGACCTGAACGGGAGTGCATCTATTTTCCTCCTCTGCTCGGGGTGACTATGTGGTACATCCCAATATTTCAGGGACACTCCCCTCTTGTTCTCCCAAACTATGTGTTATTTTCCAGGATGTCCATCCTCAGGCTCGGCATGTCAACTTTCTTTTATACTTTGTTCCTTCCAGGGCTGGTCCACCTCGCCTCTTAACAGGTCTGTCTCTCCTCCATAAAGGCAGACCCTTATGTAGCTGTGTCCCATTCCTGGGTCCCCTATCATGAAGTCCAGATGACATTTATGAGGCTTGAAATGCCACTCTGTGTTGTAATCTCAGCTGGCTTTATGACTCCTGCTTCACTAACTATCAACGTTCATCTTTATGGTTCTTTTCTATGTGAAACCACAGGGCACCTCCCATAACCATGGTCTTTCCCACTCCCTCCTACCTGTTAAAGTTGTTTACAACATTACTTAGTTCTTTCTCTCCCTCTCCCTTCATGCTCTGTTTAATACTTGCCCGGCACCCTTACACGTCACTGATGCGAACATAACCTCTTGCAAAGGACAAAGTGGAAATACCTGTCAAAATCTCAAGTGCATGTACCATTTGCCCATTGATCCCACTTTAGTATCCCCACACCTGTGCAAGATCATTCACAGCAGCATTATTCGTAATAGCAAACACTTGGAAACCACTTACATGGCCATCAAGAGAGGACAGGTTAAACAAATTAAGGTATGGTCAGATAATGAAATAACAGATATTTCTATAATATAAGTTTTTTTTTAATGCACTTGGTATGAAATAAACTCCCAGCATGTTAAATTAGAAGGTCTCAAATAGTGTACATTTGTACAAAAATGAGGGAAAGAATGGGTGTGCACATGTGCATATGTATCTTTCTACATAAATTTGCTTGTCCAGGCATAACTCTGGGAGGATGCAAATGAACAGATCATGGTTGTTCCTGACAGTGAGCCTGAGGGGGGTACAAGGAAGGAGACTTTTTGCTGCATATACCTTTATGAAATTTTAGTTTTTGAGCTGCTGGAGACTTCCTAGGCTAATAAAAATCAGTAAATAAAACAAAATAAAATAAAAACAGTAAGAATCTCCCAGTCAACTTCTCTGAACAAACACAATCTTCCCAGTCCCTGCTCTGTGCTCTATGTCCATCATTCTGGTTGCCCCAGTTCAGAAATCCGAATCCTTTCCTTCCAAGGTGCTAACCACAGGAAGGAAGAGGGAAGTCAGCACCACCCGTGCTGTGAGACAGTCCATTTCCTGCCAGAAATCCTGAAGACTCTTTCTGGTTCTCTTCTTCATATTTGAGTATACCCCTGATTAACTGGGCTGACTCCACTTTCCGGGACATGCTGGATTCCTGCTCCTTCTTTACAGGATGCTCTGGTTATTACAAGCAGAGCTCTTTAATCCCATAAAGGGATCCAGCTGTGGGGCCCCCTGCATCCCCAGGGCTCGGGGAAACCAGACTCCTCTCCAAGGAAAACCCTCTGAGGGACATGCCTGTGCTATGGTATGCCACCCAGAAGTTTTCCTTTGCCTCCTAATTCTCATATTTATTTTCCATGTCAGCCACTCCTCTGCAGTCCTGCTTCTCAGGAGTAAACCTAACTGACCTAACCTTGGGTCTCCTGGAATGACCCAGAGCCACTGCAAGAGACTCAGGAGAAAAGGTAAACAGGAAACCCTGTATTCACCCACACCTCAATACCAGACTCCTGCGCGAGGCTGGCTGTCAGGATGGTCTCCATTTGACAAGAAACCTGCACCTTGACATCCTTAGGTTTATAGACAACCATGTATAATCATGTCCATAACCTTCTACAGGCAGCAGGATTCAAGCTTCGGGGGGATCAGAGTCTGACAGAAAGAAAAGCCTGCAATGCTCTTGTTAACAGTAGAGCAGTAACAGTTCTTTTTCTTTTCTTTTCTTTTCTTTTCTTTTCTTTTCTTTTCTTTTCTTTTCTTTTCTTTTCTTTTTTCTTTTTTTTTTCACTGAAACATAAAATGGAATTTGAGGATAAAGCCTGAGCTACGGAGAAGAAAGTTCAGATCCAGCTACCCCAGAAAACAAACAAAACAGAGAAAGATCCTGCCTTTCCAAACCACAAGCAATAGGCCTCAGGCTAAGTATATTCACTGGAAAAAACCCAGCAGCAATGCAGGCTGGGAAGCCGCATTCGTCCTGTTCATGGAAGTACAACCTCTGGTGACCTGAGCTCAGTGCTGCACTCGCACACGTCCATGCACAGGACAATGGAGCCCCCACCACAGTACTCTCCATGGCTTTAAGCCTCTGGTGCTCCACATAATTGCAAATAGCGGCAGAGCCTGTAAGCATACCAGCAAAAATAATGTTCAATTACAAGAAGGAGAAATGCATTTCAGAAATGCACAGAGTATCACAGGTTGGAATAGCCTAAAAGACTTCCTCCATGTAAAAACCTAATGTTTGTACTAGCAACTGGGAAGGGCCGTTATCTGGTAGGAACGAGGCCAGCAGCTCAGGGTCTATGTTGCCTCATGCATGAATAGCCTAATGGCAAACAAAAACAAAAAAATTCAGATTGAAACACAATCCCTCAGAAAAGGAAAAATAAAGCAAACAGCAAAATGACTGCTTTCGTTATACTTGGCCCAAGAGTGGGAGCTCTCCTTCCATTCCATCTTCCCAAGAAAGGAACGGAGCTGGCTCAGCTTGATACTAACTCTGCGTTCTTTCCCAGATGGACTCACTCCCACACCCCCATATGCTCCCTAGTGGCTGGCTGGTTCAGAACCAGACATGTGACCCAAACTGGCCCAGGGAGATGCAATCCCAGGGCTTTTGCTGGAAACTTTGAGAAAAAGATGCTCTCTCTGCAGGGGTTTCCAGACTGATAGGAGGTAGTGCAGAAACCCTTCCTGACAATAAGGCTAAATCAGAACCAAGACAATACTCTAAGGGTGATTTTTAATGACAGTGTGAGGTCACCTGGATGTTGTGATACTGGACTTTAAACTCTGGACTCTTCAAGCTATGTGACCTAATAATCTCCCACCTATCACTTTTTAAAAATTTAAGTGGTTTTGAGTTGTCTCTATCACTTTAAGGCTTCTTCGAGTTTACTGAATTCTGCCACCAGAGCCCTAACCTACGTTCACATGTCATCACACATCTTGAAACATTGGTTAAAAAAACCCAAAAAACACAAACAAACAAACAAACCACACAACTCCAAACCTGGAGAAAATTCAGTTGCTTCTTTCTGAACATTTAAAAAGCAAAGTCCAGTCGGTTAAGCATCCGACTTCAGCTCAGGTCATGATCCTGAGGTTCATGGGTTCAAGCCCCATGTCGGGCTCTGTGCTGACAGCTTGGAGCCTGGAGCCTGCTTCAGGTTCTGCGTTTCCCTTTCTCTCTGCCCCTCCCCTGCTCATGCTCTCAAAAATAAACAGTAAAAGAAATTTATTAAAAAAAAAAAAGCAAAGTCTATTTAACTAACTCTTCACAGGGATAAGCTTTCACTTGACATGACCTTTGCAGTTTGTAAATGTACCTTACTCTACATGTCCATTTGCAGCAGCTTCATGACACCATCAGTAAGAATGGTTAAGGCTAGCTGTTACTATGTGTCCAGCACTATGCTAAGGACTATATATGCATTGTCTCATTCCCTCCTCAGAACCACCCAGAAAACAGGAAGGGTTACTGTCTCCATTTTATAGAGGAAGAAACAGAGGTTGCATTATGCCTAAGATCACAAAGCTAATGAGCAGCTCAGCTTGCATCACAGTGGGATGCAAGGGCCTGCCCTCTTCATCACTACAAGACGTGGCATCTCTAGCTCATGGAGAGATCTTCTTTTGGCAACTCTACTCACCATAAAGCAGCTTCTCAAAATGCGTGGAATTGACCACGTATTTTAAGTGTCTCAGTCACCAGTGTTTACCACCCAGTAAACATAGCAATAGGGCAGGTTTCCATGCACAATAATGGTGGTGCTTAATAGAAAGGAACGATATCCATTTTCACATTTTGGAGATAGCTAAATGTAGCAAGGAAGTGTATATAAACCCAGTACCTTCAGGGTCCCAGATACTATGATAGGGACTTTTGTGATTTTATTCGGACTTCACACAGTTACCCATTTTACAGATAAAGACAGTTCAAAGAAATTAAGCAGTCAACTTGTTCAATGAAGTTCAAAGACCTGTTAAGCAGTTAGGTCAGTGATTGAACCAATGTGCTTCTAAACCTAAAGCCTATCTTCTTTTTACATCTTACATGCCAGCTGCAAATATGGGGACTTGTAGGTAGAGACACATGGAAAGCGGTTATCTAAGGTTAAAACAGGATATTCTCTCTCATCAAAAGCAACTCCAAGCCTGAAATTTACACAAAACATTTGTCCCAAAAGGGAGTCTGGCATGTTCTGGCCAATGGCATTATGAAGCGTAAAACAAAAACACAAACAATGCAGGAAAACATTAACAGAAAGCCTGTACATAGGCTCCCTCCTATGACCTATCAGGAGAAAAGAAACACATAATCTAAGGGTTCCATTTAGGTCAGTGAAAGGCACATCAAAGAATGTCTCCAGATTCCTTGAATATAGTGATGGTGGCCTACTGGGCAGCTGACTTCATCCCAGTACATCATCATTGGCTCTCACAGAGGACATCTTGGGTCCTTTCACATCTTGCCTGATCCTTCCCCCTCTACTGCTTCCCTTTCTATCCCTGTCAGCAGCTTGAGGGAGGATAAAGCCTTAGAGCCAAAACTGGGTGGTTTGGGCATTGCTGAAATCTGCAGCCACAGCAAAACCTGATAACTTGGTATTAACAGATCATTGCATCTCTAGTGCATAGATAGATGCTCTTGGCGCCCAGGGGCTGCCAGGCTTGGGGTTGACCAGATGGCCAGGACCCACATTAGGCTAGTTTCCCCTGCTCTGAGTTTAGGACTTTTTGGATTACCCCAGAATTTGGTGTATCACACTCACCTCTGCTTTTCTCTGCTTCTCCTCCTGCTCTCTTTGCTCCTTCTCCATGCCAACCAGCTTGAGCTTCAGCTCAGAAACTTCAGTCATCAGATCGAGCTTCTGGGTCTCAAGAGATGTGCGACTTAGCAGCTCCTGCAAGCAAAACCAGATCTCAAAATCGTAGGCTCCATGGCAACAAGGACAACTGTAGCTCCATCCAGAGCACATAAGGCAATCTCTAAGGTGTGTGTCAGACAACAGAGCTGAGACTGCTGCATATGAGTGATAGGTTTATTAGTGAGAGGCCTTGGCCAACACTGGGTTACTCAGGGAGAGCACAGCCCCTGCCACTACCCATTGTACTCTGAGAAACAATGTGAACTATAGCTCTGAAAAAACATGTTTGTCAATAGAACTCCTCTGTGACCCAGCAATAGCACTACTAGGAATTTACCCAAGGGATACAGGAGTGCTGATGCATAGGGGCACATGTACCCCAGTGTTCACAGCAGCACTTTCAGCAATAGCCAAATCATGGAAAGAGTCTAAATGTCCATCAACTGAAAAATGGATCAAGAAGATGTGGTTCATCTATACAATGGACTACTACATGGCAAGGAGAAAGAATGAAATCTGGCCATTTGTAGCAATGTGGATGGAACTCGAGGGTGTTATGCTAAGTGAGATAAATCAGGCAGAGAAAGACAGATACCAGATGTTTTCACTCATATGGGGAACAGGAGAAACTTAACAAAAGACCATAAGGGAGGGGAAGGGGAAAAATAGTTAAGGAGAGCGAGAGAGGCAAACCATAAGAGACTCTTAAATACGGAGAACAAACTGAGGGTGGATGGCAGGTGGGAAAGAGGGGAAAATGGGTGATGGGCATGGAGGAGGGCACTTATTGGGATGTCCATTGGGTGTTATATGGAAACCAACTTGACAATAAACTATAATAAAACAATTTTTTAAAAGAACATGTGGGAAAAAAACCACATTTGCCTATAGAAACCATTATTTCCAAGTACAGAAAAATGGACAGTTTTGTTCAAAGAACTAAATTTCTCCATCTCTATTTTTAATGAAAAGCAGCAGGTCCTATCAACCAAAACAAACAAACAAACAAACAAACAAAAACCACAAACAAACCCAAGCTTAACAATATATTTTTTAAAACCAAGATTCCAAATCACCTCCTTGGCTCAATGTTCAGCCCACATCTTCAAAAAAATTTCATTGTAAGGTCTCACTGCATCAAGCCTAGGAGAGAACTAGAGCATAAAGCAGATATTCAATGAGTAATTATTGAATGATAGGATCCTATTTATGTGATACAGGTTTTTCCTAGTCTATGTGATAATGGATCATTTCTAGCCACTATGGGATCTAAGTAAGAAAGTTGTTCTTTCCTTACTGTAAGGCTGGACTCAGGGAGCTTATCAGTCCTGCTATAACAAGACAGTAGAAAATAGACTGCTATTAATATATATACTTAATAAGCATAAATAAGACAAAAACCAAAGGTGATTGACAAGATACCTGCTAGGAACTACTAGGGATTATGAAGGACCTCAAACACCAGGAGCCCTTCCTGGTCCAGGGGCAACACTTCTCCATTGGCCAAAGGCCATGGTACATGACCTCCAGAGTCCTGGCACATGGGGGACGTGGTTCCCAACAAGGAGACTCTAGTATGGCCATTAGGGGAGTGAGCAGCCAACTGAGCAGACAGAAAAGATACACTATCCCATCTCAGCATGAACTTTCTATATTATGTTGGACAACCTAATCCTCATACAAGAAGGGTGACCAACATTCTGACCAACAGCTATGATTTCACATTTTCTGAACGGTCCTCAGACTATAAACCAAATCACACAGGACACAGATTTTAATGGGGGAAAACAGAATTCCCTAGGCCAAGGCCCTCAGTGTCTCAGAAAGCCAGGCTACAAACTGTCCATCTGCTAATCTGAAGGGATGAGTACCTAGAAGTTCAGCAGAATGAGCTCACGGAGCACTGGGCAAAAGAGGCCAGCTCTGCCTGTTTCAGCTAGACTTGAAGCTAACTTATAGTGCAGAGACAATAACACTGCCATGTGAGGACCACAGGCTACTTGGTCATGAGGAGTCGGCCAGATTAATGTGTGTAATGGTGGAGGTGGGAGAGGAGAGAAGACACACAGATTCAATGAGTGCCTCCTCTGTGCCAGGCCCCACGGGGCACTTTACATATATGTTTTCAATAAACCTTCCTGGTGATTTGACAGTAAATATTATCCTGACTTAACACATGAGCAACCCGGACCAGAGACTGGCCTTGTTCTGACCAAAGACACGTGCCAATCAACAATAGCAGAGTGAGTTAGTATGCAAACCAAAGTCCGTTTGATTCCAAAACTTATTTCTGTCTAATGTATCACACTGTTTCCCAAAGGAAGAAGTCCAATAATTTTAAGGCAAATAAAAGAAAAAAAATACATGCTGAAAAAAAGCCGATGAACAAATATTGATGGAGACCAGTAAATAGCCACTCAAATTGTCAAGATTTTGTCGAGCACACACTCTCTACCAGGGCCTGGCGCTGAGGTTCTCTGAAGATATTATCCTCCCTGACACCACCTACTCACTTCCACCTCCTTCCTCTTCCTTACCTTCCCCTCTGTTCCACCATCTCATTCTACGTGTCTGTCTCCATCCTTTCATCTACCTGTTTTGTTCCACAAATGATTTGAGGCAGTTTGAAAAATGGACATTTTAAGTTAAAATGTAAAATCATAAAAGTCAGAGCAGGTAGGCAGAGTATTTGAGGCCAGAGCCATAGTTGGTATAAAACTCCTACCCTAAAGTTCTGTGGGCTGCCAGAGATGGACTGTACTGTGTATGTGAGTTTTCCAAGCCACCAACGCAAAGGGAAAGAGGAGCTATTCTATAAATCAGATAGTAACAATTGCTTTGGAGTATGGACAATTGAGAAAATGTCCCATTCCATTCCAGACTTTAATCATTTACTCAACAAATATGTTTTTAAGTACCTACTAGATGTCAAGGCCTAGGGATACGATTGTTAAAACGCAGCCCATTGAGTGCTTGACTATCTTGGATGCAGTTTTTCCACTAACCAGCATTCACAATACTGCCTTGGTGGGATTAAAAAAAGCCTCAGAATGCATCTCTCTTGAAAACTAGGACTCTAGTCTACTTCTGTTATTACCAAAATCCCTCTAGCTGTCATAGGCTGCCAGGTTGTCATTGGTCACACCAATGTTCCAGCTGACAAATATAATATTTTAATTGGTTGTACTAATGTTCCAATAGCCATTCCAATTGGTCACACCAGGGTGCCAATTGGTCACACTAATATCCCAAGTGGGCATTCCAGTTATTAGTGATTATATTCCAGCTATTATACCTATTAGCAAATACCTCTGCCTTTCATTGTCATTACCCTTCATCCTTGTCATCAGTAAGTACTGTCCTACTCCCTGAATTCAAAATCAGCCTTCAACAAGCTCATCCAGTCCAGCTCCACTTCTCATCTCCAGGTGCACATGGCCCCCAGCCACTATTACTTGCTATATTCTTTATCATGCGTGTCTTAAGAGGGTTTACCCTACATTTTCAATTGTTTCTTCTCCTTTCAGCATAAACTGAATCCTGACTTTTGCAGCCTATCACCTATCCTTCCCAGTCATCTCAAGTGGAGTCCATCCTGCTCTGACAATCCAACTTTTACTGGACACGCTTCCAGACCCTTACTGTCCTACTGATCATCTCCATCTGCCCTCCTAAGATGGTGCCATTCAGTTATAGCACATTCCAGAACCCAAGACAGTCTCTCATTTTCCTCAGGGCTTTTGTCTTTTGAGCAATGGTTTCTCTACCTAGTTTGGGCACATTCCATCTCCTCAGTAACTTCAACATCCTGGTTTCTTCCCTGTTAGTCTTCCAATATCCACTCTTGTTTCACCTTTCTTGAGCACACGCCAACAGGTTTTGCTTCCACGTTGTGTCAGTTTCTCAGCAGGATGGCCACAACTCAGCCATCATATTTATCCAGAATGCATTTGCTCTGATTCTAAAGTCTTTAGCTGTGATACAGTCTCCTCTAGCCACAGTCCTCTGACCTTTCAACTTTCCCATTTACTGACTCAAATTTACTAACTTTCATTTCTTCTTCTGTGGCCGTTACTTACCTGTTTTCCTAGTTTATAACCTTCCCTTAAGTAATATTTGCCTCCTTATCCATTCCATATCTTGAGGTCATTTCAACTGTATCATATCTGGACCAGAAAATTCCTCATTCCAGTTCATCCCTGCCCTTAGAGCTAAAGTGCATTTGCTTTACCAGAGCTCAGTCCATGCCAAACCTCAAGGTCTTTTGTCTATGTTTCTACTCCCCGTGGCCTAAAAATTGCTGGTAAAAGACACTTGATGATGCCAATTGGTTTCCATATAAATTTATGCTATCTAATTAGAGCTGATCTTCCAATACTACCTGGCACCCTTGTGTTCATCTCTGGTTGGTTCCTTTCAGAGACTATTCCAAAACTTTCCCATTCTCCTCCAGCCATAAACCCCAACCTTTCTTCCTCTTCTCAAATAACCTCTCCTGTTTACTGAAAAGATATTTTAAACATTTATCTTTGAGAGAGAGAGAGAGAGAATGTATACAAAAGCAAGGGAAGAGCAGAGAGAGAGAGAAAGAGAGAGAGCGAGAGATCCAAAGCAGGCTCTATTCTGACAGTGGAGAGCCCAATGTAGGGCTCAAACCTACAAAAAATGAGATCACGACCTAAGCCGAAGTTGGATGCTTAACTGACTGAGCTACCCAGGCACCCTTGGAAAGGTATTTTAAAATAATCTGATCATTCATTGAACTTACATCCTTTCTGTTTCAAAATCTCCTGGAATCATCTCTCATTCACATCTTTTAAATCCATGTCTTAAGGCAAGCAAGCCCATGTATCTTTCACCTTTAAGAACCACTCTCAAGCCTAGTAATTTTCCAGGTTGCACATGGAAAGCATCTGTTCAAGGACACAAGGATCCCATAGTGTGCTCTGGAATTACCCCACCTGACCCGCCTTCCTGTTGCTGACTATCTTTCAGTCTCTAGATTTCATGCCATCCCCACACAGCTTGATGTTCAG